GATGGACAAGATTTGCGAGGTTTGAATCAGATGGACCAGATGTGTCAAGCAAATCAGTTGCTGCCTTTAGTTCACTGTATATAAAAGGGTGCAACAAGGGGTACCTTCAAGAAAACCAACACAAAATTAAATACTGGATGAAAACAATGCATTTTCAAATGTAGAGACACTACAAAAAAAATTTCAGGGGAGAATCTTATAGACATACCTGTGAAAAAATTCAAGCCCAGTCAAGGCACGACGGGTAGATCCACGTTTTTGAACATTGAGGAATCCAATCATTCGACGGACCAAGGCAGTGTATGCAAGTGTGGCACTGTTTCTGACCTCCCAATATGGTGAAGAGAAGGATCTTATTGAAACAATCATAGCCTCCGCAGAAAACCCAGAAGTATCAGTGCTCAAGTTTGTGTCGTTGAAAGTAGCTTTGAGAACATTGAAGGCATGCACCGTTGGAACGACTCCTTCATCACGGACCTTTGAAAGTTTTTCACTTGTATGCATATCAGAAGAATTTATCTCCTCAACCATATTTTCAGAAACCTTCTGTTCCAGGGGTTCCATGAGAGGCTTCTCTGCAAGACCTATTAGCCACCTAAGCGCCTGTGGGAGAAGCTTCTTTGGTGAACCTTCCGGTTCTGAGAGAAAAAGAGCAATAAATGCAGCGGGAATTCCTGCACTTCTTCTTAACAAATCGTCCACTGTCTGTCCTCTTGCCACAGTTCTTTCCATAAGTTGCTCCATCCAGGATTCTGTCAACTTACAAAGTCTATGAAAAGAAAAAACAAACACAATATGTCAGTGAATAAAAAAACAGGTTACAAGGACACACAAGAAGCTTAAAATCATACCTTGGATCGTTAGAACATAGTAAACGGTGGCACAAAGCTGTAAATCCAGCTCTTGTCTTATCTATTGCACCATTGTGCTTCATTTTTAAAAGCACTTCCAAGAAGTGGTCTCCAATCTTTTCAAGTTGCTTCAGGTCAAGCAGTGATTCAGAATTTCCTATCACTAAATCATTGGGGACTGCAGAAGCTGTATCACCATTTTCTAAGGGTCTAAGGCTGCTGGTAGGTAATGGAATCTTTCTTATAATGGTTCCCAAAAGAAGACTCACCTGAAGAAAGAAAATAGTTTCTATATGAAGTTACTCAAAAAATTATAAATGCAGTGAAAAAGAGTAGCTAGTCGAGAAAAGTATTAAGAAAAATGAAAACGCAAAAAAGTGATGCCAAAGTAAGGACAATTATCAGAAAGATGACAGAATCAATACCTCCTTCATAGCGAGCCAGCAACCAACCATAACTACCTGTTCTGATTGTACTGTTTCATGCACAGGTTTTGGATGTGTACTCGTGTGTTCCTCTGAGAGAACAGCGGCAGCATCATCTTGAACATTTGAAAAGAAACTATCATCATCTATTATGTCATCCATATCCTCAGGCAAACACAGAGCATCTGCAGAAACCACCCAAAGTGCTAATGTAGTTATTCGCGTCACGAGTTTCAGAAGCTTTTCCAGTTCCTTTCTCATCTCTGATATACTTAACACTGCATTAGAGTTCCAGTCCAATTCCTCAAAAGTATAACGCAAAGCTAATAATACCCCATGAACAAAACTGTTTTTGCATGCTTCAGAGAGATCACGCTCTCCCTCCGTCACAGAAGTATCAAGCCAATGAATAAGTGATTTGATATACTCAACCACAGGATACTTGGGCTTAGCGTTCTGATAAAGACCATTTATGCTTTCACACTCTCTTTGACAACAAAAAACATTAGTGGAAACCTTGACTATCCAACCAAGGTCCAATACATACTTTCTGAAGATAAGCCTAAGAGTCAAAGCACCTGCATCACTCTCTCTTACCCGTGGACTGCAGACTAGTTGTTTGGCCCAAGGAATAATGATTTGGACCATGTCTTCACTTGAAATGCCAGTAAATGGAGTTGGAAAGTGAAGCAAAATACGGAAAGAATTTTCCCTAAGCCTGTCCCAACTATCAACAATTGATCCAATTAGCAATAACGTTGAATCATGTGAAGTGACAATATCGCAGTATGGGTAAAGATGGCCTTGATGAGAAGTGAGATCCTTAGAAGCCACAACAGGCCAGACTTCAATCATGATCTGTATAAGTTCCGTCGCCATTATTTTTCTCCTGTAAGGGGCAGAAGGGTAGCAAGATAAATACAAAAAGGAACTCAGCCACCTCATAAACTTGAACAAACTCTCTGCTCGTAGAACTGCACTCTTGTCGCTTTTAAGTGGTTGCAAGCTCCCTAGCTTATACTGCTTTTCCAGCGACGTACGGACCCGGAGAAAAAATTTCCTGAACAAACTGGTCCATTTCATTTGAAAACCTGTAGAAGATGACCTCATGTTCAAGGGAACAGCCTCCTTCATGAGATAAAGCTCTAAGGGGGATGGAAGGCTAGAAGTCTTGGGGTTTAAGAAGAGTGTCTCTGCAGCATCCACACGAACCGACTCATCAACATGGGTTAAGGCCATTTTTAGCCACTCAATGGGAACTTTTAACTCAATACCCTTGATTTGGACAACTGCAAATGCATCAGTACTTCTTTTTTGTTCGATATCCCCTTCAAGGAATGCAAGTGTACGACAAACTTTCAGCAATGACACTAAAACAACCACTTTCTGTTCAACTGTCAGTTCCATACTCATGTTACTCAACTCAGTATAGTTTAGCTTGGTCTCTTCCTCACTCGGCCCAATAGATATATACGCAAGCAAAAGAAATATACTGTCTACATCCAGTTCTAGCAAAACTTGTACTGCATAAGTATTTAGATTGGACCTGAGTTTCGAGATGCCAGAAGCAAGCCCGTAAAGGAAAGGAGGCAAACAATGTTCTCGATAACGCGCATAACCCTGGGCAACACCTTCGCTCCCCCAGCTTTCATCACGCAACATTTCAAGGAAACATTTTATAAATGACGTTACAGCATAGCAGACATCATCATCAATATATGCATTTGCCATCTCGAACAATAGGTTAGGGCTCATATCCATCAAAGTCTTAGCACCTAACCGTCTAGTCAAGGATGCTAATGGAACGTATCTTCCCTTACAGCGTGATCCTAAACGAAGTAGATAGTTGACAATTTTAAGCAAAGATTCCCTTATTCCCACTTTATCATCTGTCTGGTGGACTGTGGTTTGAATGTCTAGTAAGAGGTCAAACATGAGATGAACTTGTTTGACTGTCTGGCTCAAAGGGTCCTCCAAGTTGTTCCATATAATTCTGAGTACTCGAGCTGCCATGCTGTCTGGCATTGGATCACAATCTTCTGATAAATCAGTTAACATAGATGTCTTGATCTGTTGCATGCAAATCTGCATCACAGTCAGTGCGTGAAAATTTAAATGGCTATCAATGGGGTTCTCGCATAAATCACAAAGTTCAAGCAAAATTCCGTCATACAGAATAGTTTTGTGATCACAATCACTGTTACTCAACCGAGCAAAAGAAGAAACAAGAATACCCCTAGAAACTGTAGTAAGAATGCCTCGGATCAAGCAGAGTCTACTCAAAGATGAAAAACTGCAGATCTCAGAACAAATGTCCCCGGCAAATGGAATTTTGCTAATAATATCAGTCAACCTAACGACACTACTCCAGCAAAATATACCTTGCGCTATAAACAATCCAAGCTCTTCGTCTTTGAGACAGACCTGTAGAGCAGCACAGAAACTCACACCAGCAGCCACATAACAGTCCCTAGAAAATGCGGGCGACTTCAAAATGCTTACTTGAACAGCCAAAACACTCTCCATAAAACATGCATCCTCCCCAATTAAACCCTTAAACTTCAAAGGAAACCGCTGAAACAAGTAATACGAGCAAGACAAAGCCTCTTGGCATTGCTCCATAACAGTTGGAGGAGGCCTATCACAAGCTTCAGTGTCTAAGATTATACCATTCAACCCTGAAACGATATCATGACCCACCAAAAGCGCGCAATCTTCAATAATATCAACCAAATATCCCAACTTTGGCATACCCATCACTGACAAAGCAACTCTAGAGACACAGAATCGGTTCCCACCATCTTCCAAACCGCCGTATTCATCACAAAGCTCCTTAAAACACGAACTAATCACTGAATGGAACTTACTGGTTTTAGCCAAGGCTGAAACAAGGGTCTTATGTAGAGGCAAAGAATTCTCCATGAACAGAACCTCCAAGTAAAACCTAATAGCTTCCCGTACAAACACTGCCTCTCTCTCGCCTCCTTCATTTTCATGTGTCTTGGCGAGAACCTCTCCGAACGAAGCAACAAATTTCTTGGCGTGATTAACTTGCGCGTAGATTGAATTCAAAGAAACCAATTCCCCAATGTCGGAGTAAAACTTGGGACAAGACTGAGACAAACTAGATTTGCTCAAAGAAGCAGTGAAGGAGCTGGGGAACAGAACAGCACTGTAAGTGTAACGATGGCGATGCTGCAGAGCTCGCCACTTGGCAGACATGTTTCAGTGAGCAGAGGAAAAGCAGAGAAACAATCAAAATCTTTGGGTAACCTAAGAGGCGACGCGGCGGAGGCGGAAGAAGCACCGCCTTCAAATCTTTTCAATTTAGAAGAAATGGGCCTCACTTATAATTTTAATGGGCCTGCTGCAGTTGATTGTGGAAATTTCTGTTGCATAGCTCCGGAACACATTACACTTTCCATTAGTCAAACATCATCTCCAAGAATTTTCAGAATTCAAGTGACAAAACAGAGGATATCGTCGGTGATGCAAGATCACCTCCACCGCTGGTGGAGAAGACGGTTGGAAGATGATTATGCTGTGTCAGATTTTGCTTAAAAGACAATTGTTGTTAGCTTCTTAGCCGGTTCCAATGGATAAACAGGTGCTGATGTTGGTTTTTCCAAAGTCTTAAACGCAGTGGTTAATTGGCTTTTATTCGTAGAATCTAACGTTTTTGCAGATTTTGTTGTCAAGAAACCAAATAGATCACCCCAGGAGCTAGTTCTCAAAAGTTATATAGAGTTTATATCATATTTGAAACGAAGAAGGTGAGAGATCATACAATGATATGTTTGAGGAATCAAATCTTTGATTCAAAGAAAATTAGAGAAGAAGGAGATCTTTGACAGCAGAAAGATTATTAAACCTTGATGGCATACTTTCTAATTGGAAAGTACATTTCTTTCTTCTTCTCTCGCTCTGTCTTTAGAGACGCCTATCCAATGCAGAGAATAAGTCATTAAGTATGGACCAAAACAAACAATGCCATTGAATTAGAATAGGGAAAACCATCGTATCATATACCTGGTGCTTAGTGAGTCTCCTTCTGATGGCTCTAGTCTTCTTGGGACGGAGATCGAGTGGCAACAACTTCTTGTTCTTGTATGCTTCTCTAAGAGCAGACTTTTGTTTCTGTGAGATCACAGTCAACACTTGCGCAATCGACTTCCTCACCACTTTGCTGCAACAACCCAATAAAAAAAAGGACCCCATTCAGATCCATAATAACTTGAGAATTGAGGCCTTCCCAAGATTGCTAAAAGTCCTAAACAAACAAGGTTCTTGCTTGTTCAGAGATTCAAATAGATTTATATATAATTATCAATCTTTTCCCATTTTGTAGACAGACAAGAACTACAGGTTCCAAAAACTAATCTAGGACTCAAACCAATCAACAGAGGAAATTTGCTTAAGATGCTAAGAATTCTAGTTACACTGAACATAAAAATTGATGCTTAGAGACCAAATATCCACAATTCCATAAGTCAAGTACCATGCATACACACTAATGACATGAATGTATCAAATGCCCAATTATGTAAAACATAAACATTTCAACTAACAATTATAAAATCCACAATGACTTTTCTCACTAGCTATATACATTGTTTGAAAAATCGCTAGGCGCTAGTCGGGCGCTCGGCATGGGCCTAGCGATTAATCGGAAAATCGGATTAAAATCGGGGATTAATCGGGAATTAGTTTTAGGGTTATTTTAATATGTTTAAAATATATTAATCCAATATTGTTTTCAAAATTACAATAAAAACAAATTTTTATGATTTTTATTAAAACACAAGTTATGTAAAACATCACAAACTCCCAATTCAAATGATTGAATAACAAAAATAAAATGTTTTTTTTATACTTGCAATCTAAAAAATAATCGGAGTATGTAAGATTAGGCGGGAAATAATCGGATTAGGCGGGAAGTAATCGGATTAGGCGGAGAATAATCGGGTTACTGATTTTTTAGGGGATTAGTCATTAATCAAAGCGGAGAAGGTGGGCCTAGCGATTAAGCGGGGAATAATCGGGGTTAGGCGGGGATTTTTAGAACAGGGGCTATATATAGATCATACTCAGAAAGAGGCTAGTGATCCCAATATCAAGCAGCTCAAAATGCAATAACAACATTATCAAAGTAAGCTACAAAATCAAGTTTGTTGCTATAAGAGAGAGAGCTGAGAGAAGAGAATAATTACATCTTAGAGAGCTTGTTAGGAGCACCACCAGTGACCTTAGCCACACGGAGGAGAGCAAGCTCTGCCTTCAGATCTTTCAATTGAGTAGAAAGATCCGATTTTGATTTACCCCTCAACTCATGAACCTTGATTCTCGCTGTTCACGATCAATTTCACAAAACCCAATAATTAAATTATCTCAGAGAGCAAACACAAGAAATGAAACGATAATGGTGGAAATGATTCAAGAGTAAGGACTTACCCATGGCGTCTTCGAGCTCTCTCTCTCTCTTTCAGTCTCTTTGCACTGCTATGGTAAGAGAGAGACCAGAAACCCTAAACTAAATGGGCCTGAATTATATAAATGGGCCGTAAGTTTAGTACAGATAGTGAAAATTTTATTTATTCTTTTTAGGTTTGGAGCTTAGTCATCATGGTAATTAATACGTTAATCTGATTCACCATTTGGTATTTGCAATTTGTACAAAAGTTCATTAATATTAAGTTTTCTTTGGGAGTTTCACGAGAACACTTTTAAGGTCGAAAAAAAAAAAACAGAGAGAGCGAAAGAAAAAAAGCTTCGAGGGTTTGCTTCTGTGACCGCCGTCCTTCCGACGGTGGCTCCGGCCAGTTGTTCTAGCTTATGTTTTGTGCTTCCTTCTCACTTGTATCTCACCGGTTCTTCTCCTTGGTTATGCAAGGGTTCAGTTTTAGTTTCAGATCTTCTTTTCTAGATCTATATCTCTCGCAGGTCTTTGTCTTTTTTGGGGTTTGGAACTCATTTTTACTCTCCAGATTATTGCAATCTCTGGTGTTTCTTCTTTATGAATTCAATGGAGTTTCGTCTTGGCGAGGTTCGTTGTAGTCTTGGGAGATGCTTCTCTGGGTTGGCTAGGCCGTGTCGAGAGTGGTCGGTGTGGATCCGGGAGTTGTCGCTGCTCCTTATAAGCGACTGCTCCTCTTTTGTTGAGAAGGCTTTAGTTAGTTTAGCTTAATGGTTTTATGAGATTTTATTGCAACTGCTCTTTTCTCTTTGTGGGTTTCTCCCTAGGCTTATTCGAATCGCATCCTTCACCTTTCCTTCCCTCTGAAGTTTATGGTGAGTCGTTTAAGCGACCTTGTTTGTTTCCTCCACTCGAAGTTTTTTTTTTTTTTTTTTTTTTCTTGTTTGTTTCCTCCACTCGAAGTTATTTTCAGGTTTGGTCGAGATCTGAATGTGTTGTGCGTCCTCCTAACCGGTTACTAGTTGAGCTAGTTTCAAATCCGGCCCATGCATTTCGTCGTGCCACACTTATGAAGCACAAGGTTTCTAATTTCCGAAGTCTACCCATTTTAAGCGAGGACAAGAAGAGTTGAAGCCTCTATTGGATATTGTCGGAGCCCCAACGATGTCTGATCTTTTTCTGCTCTCGGTTTGAACCTTTATGGGAAGTTTGAGTTTAGTAGTTTGTATAATCTCATGTAAAACCTTTTGTTTGCTTTAAGTTCTTGTCTCCCGTGTAATCGGGCTATGCTTCTCGAGGTTCCGAGCTTAGATTAGTCGGAATTTGCGGGCTTATGTATGCTTCCCTTGTTTGGGCTCTTGTCTCCGGGAATATCACTATTTTCCGCCGGTTTATCTTACCGGGGATATTAACTCTTCCGGTCGATGTATCCTTCTCTGTTTTATTAATAAAAATTCAGACGAAAAAAAAAAAAAAATTAAGTTTTCTTTGATTCAAACATCGACCTTCGTGTCTTGCAATTTTCCATATATCGAACGGTAACTTCCCCTAAAGTAAAGTTAGTTAATTCACAGGATATATTATTTTAGTCAGCTGGTCCCATAAGTAAACGCATTAAGCGGTTTTTTTTTTTTTTTTTTTTTTTTTTTTTTTTTTTTTTGAAAACACGCATTAAGCGGTTTATCGTTAAAAATCTCAATCTGATTTGACTCTTCTCTCCTCTGACTAATTTTTTTTTGGTCAAATATAAATCTCTTATCTCGTCACCCTCGTCTTCTTCTATATATATTGATACAAAATCCAGTTTTCTGCTTGAAACATATAACAAAAACAGAACATCATGGTTACGTACAAAGAGGTATGTCTTAATCTTTCTCTCTTTTCAATTATGAGTTAGCTCTTTTATCATGAAAGTTCTTGCTCTTCTTGTATGTAAAAAAAAAAACAAAAAAATTGATATTAAAATTTGGTTTTTCGTTTGTTGTTTAGGATTATGTTTCAAACTCACGAGGTATTCAACTTTTCACGTGTTCATGGAAACCAGAGGAGCAGCAAGAACCAAAGGCTTTAATCTTTCTCTGTCATGGCTACGCCATGGAATCAAGCATCACCATGAGCAGTTCCGTCTTTTAAAATTATGATGATTAATTAATCGTCAATACATTCATAGCAAAATGATGAAAACATTTTAATCAATTTTAAAACATATTCATCAGGCACTGCAATGAGGTTGGCTAATGCGGGCTTCGCGGTCTATGGAATGGACTATGAAGGGCATGGTAAATCCGGGGGATTAAATGGTTACGTCAAAAAATTTGATGATCTTGTTCATGACGTCTATTCTCATTACTCCTCAATTTGTGGTAAGAATTCTTTAAAATACCAACAAATAAGTTTAACCTCTATTTTGTACGTGGTCTTTTTGATAATTTTCACTTCTTCTTCTTTTTTCCCTCCGTTTGAAAATGTTATTATTAATATATTTTGGAAATGATGAATGTGAAGCGAGGGAAGAGAATAAGGGGAAGATGAGGTTTCTAATGGGAGAATCCATGGGAGGAGCAGTTGTGTTACTCTTAGAGAGAAAGAAGCCTGATTTTTGGGACGGTGCCGTTTTAGTCGCCCCCATGTGTAAGGTATGTATGATCGATTGATCACGTGTTCTTCAAGTTTTAAGTTAGCCCTTAGTTTAATATATCCTTACTATAAAAGTGTTGACTTCTAAACTTTAAGTTCAAGTTTATTTTTTTATATATATAATTCTATTTCACTATTTTTAGTTAGATGAATCTCTTGATTGTTTTTTTTTTTTTTTTTTTTTTTTGAGTAAAGTTAGCAGAAGACATAAAGCCACATCCAATGGTGATCTCATTTCTCACAAAGCTAACTCGGTTTATTCCAACTTGGAAGATAGTTCCTAGCAACGATATCATTGACGTAGCATTTAAAGAATCCCACATAAGAAAACAGGTAACATATTATTGATTATCATCATTTTAGTATAATTTTCGACGTACGTTTTCTTTATTTAAAAAGAAATGATTGTAAAGGTAAGGGACAATGAGTATTGCTACAAGGGCCGGCCTCGCTTGAAAACCGCTCATCAACTCTTACTGGTTAGCTTGGATCTTGAGAAGAATCTTGATCAGGTTTCTCATATTTTTTTATCGATCTCCTTTGATATATCCAAGATTTGATTTTATTTAATTAACAAAATTTGTGAATAAACATTAATATTTTGATTTAAAAAAACAGGTATCGATGCCATTTATTGTCCTTCACGGTGAAGATGATAAAGTTACTGACAAAAACGTAAGCAAACTACTATACGAGGTGGCTTCAAGTTCGGACAAGACTTTCAAGTTATACCCGAACATGTGGCATGGGCTTTTATACGGAGAATCTCCTGAGAATTTGGAGATTGTGTTCAGTGATATCATAAGTTGGTTAAACGAGAGAGCTTCTGTCACAAACCAAAGGTTGGAGACTGAGTTAAAGCAAATGGATGATGGAATTTCTATGCAAAAATAAGTGTTCGTGAACTAAAACGATGAGTTTTATGTATTACTAGAAGAACTAGATAATAACCCGCACTATGTGCGGGACAAAACGATTATTAAATAAATTTTAATGTATTAACTATATTGAAGGTGTTCGAATTTTATATTATTAGATAAACAGTAGTGTATTAATAATTATCAAGATTAGTGAAAATTTTCATTTTTGTATTAATGTTTTGTGTTTATCATGATTCGTGATATATTGTTATATTAATAGATACACAAAATATTAGGTACTCCATTTTGTATAGATTTGTATATCTTAATTACATATCTATATATACATTTTTGAATACAATTATGAAATAAATCCTGGCTTTCACTACTATTTACAATGGAATGCCACTGGATTTAATTCTTAAGATTTGGAAAATTAAATAAAAAATATGAAAAAAAGATTTTGGCTCCAAAGATCTTGCTTAAATATGATGTTTCCTTTTTTTGTTAACGATTTTAAAGCAAGTTTTGTTATATTTCTGTTTGTTTTCTTAATTAGTTAATTTACACTAATTGTATTTGATTAATTTTTTTTTTGGTCGTAACTATGATTCATAATCAACACTAAACTTAGATTTTTAGTTGGTTTTGATTATAACTATAGTAAGCAACATCTATATATTATTACTTTATTATAATAAAAACATTACAACTATATGTTTTTTAAAGCAAACTTATAAATTGACTCGAATTGTATATGTTTTTAAATTAAAATATTATTAAAAAGAAATATAACAAAATGATGTTTAATTTCATGGGACGGGTTATATGGTGGGACGAGTTTGGGTCGATATTAATACGGGACGGTATACTACAGGTGAAATCCTAGGATTAACAATCATATACAGTTATATAATCTTAAACACTAAATAAAATAAATAATATTAACAAAAAAATACAACTTAAAATTTAAAAATTATTGTTATAAAAAATCGACCCAAAGTATCGCGGGGTAATATATATAATATATACATATGTAAGTATATTTAACCAAACAAAACAATAGGTTATATCTATAGATAATTTTCAAACTTTTGTTTAAAGTATAGCCCCGCGGTGTACCGCGGATTAAAATCTAGTTTTAGTTGTATTTTCGTTTTAATTAATTGAGTAAAATAAAAAGCATAAATTAATTAGAAAAAATAAACATAAGTAAAACTAATGGCAAAATCTGTAAATATCCTAATAAATGTTGGACCTTTAATTAAATGGATTGAGAAGCTCTGTGAGAACGACATGTCAGCATGACATTTTCGTTAATCACACATGAGAGTAAAGTTATTTTTTAAAAATGCTTCTCAATCTATACTATTAATTGGGAATCACTAAGATTAGTATTTTTTGTCATCATCCACAAATTAAACCTAATTTCATGTACAATCTATTTCCTATAAATATTATGCATACATCCACGTAGTTGATTATCTCACAATTAATCTAAGATTGTGTTATAAATACTATATAAAATAAATTTCTTTACATCAATCTAACCTATATTATATTTTTATCTAATAAGATTTTTTTCCTAATTTACTCTTCAATTTCAAACTCCAAAATTTGACCTATGGTTCACAACATTAGCTATTATGTCATAAACATTATAAATAGCATTTTACATTTTTCTGTGTACATTATAATATATATACAACAATATATATCACCAATCAACAAAATATTTTCACTCACAAAAAAAAACAACAAAATATTTTATATTTACAAAAAGTTTATTACAACACATTTTCTTAAAATAAGAAACCCCGCACGTACGTGCGGGTCATGATCTAGTTAATATATAAGGGATGTTGTAACTTACGATATATGCAAGAGGCTCGTTAATCTTTTTCTGTTATCATTCCAATAAAAATAAGAGTCTGTTTGATTGATTTGAAATCCATTGAGAACCTGAAAAACCACTCTAAACATTTTTTGTTGTTCATATTTGTGATGTTTATGTATTTATTTGTTTTGGCTTAATGCTAATTTTATTGATCCATTTATATATTCATTTCCACATGAAACATGTTTACCAAAAGAGTCTGAATCGTGGTGTGTATCGTACGACTCACAACAACATTTCCAATCCTTGCTTGAATAGTAAATTCATTTGAATTCCAAATTCTTACAACCTATGATTAAAAGCCTCCAATTTTAAATAAGCTAAAAGCTTAACCCAAAATCTTTTGCTCATTTGGCGTAACTTTGAAGCATCATTTTTTTTCTTTCTAAAGTAACTATACCCAAGATGATCCCCCCAATCTACTCTGCGTGATCCAATACAAACTCGAATTTAAGAACAATATCCCGTAATCGTTTGGGTTTGACTTGGATGGTAAACATGAAAACCATATTACTAAAAGGATGAGATTTAGAACATTGCATTAACTTTTGCTTGCGAATCCAAAAAAAATTTTTTTTTGCGAAATTTTACTTAATATATGACCATAAAGCACTTATGAAGGATAGTTACTAGACTACAGAATTTGATGTTGTAAGGTTTTATCAGATCCTACAGTGTACAGATGTACTATGGTTTGAATTGCACTTAGAAATTTCATTTTGTTCAAATTTTAGATCCCAAAATACTGTGGATAGTTAGAGTTCAAAAAGAATTACTAAATCAGTTATGACCTAAAGTTTGTGGCATTTTTTATTTTTTTAAAAAATGTGATATTTTTGGAAACAAAACCTGAAATGTGATATATTTATTTTATTTGAGTCACCATTTATTGTTCTGCGTTTAATTACTAGCTGCAAATTGCATCCGACTTCAAAAAATTATAACAATCGACGATAATTTGCATCTGATAAGTCTGATAACCATGAAATGGAAATGTCAGAAAGCAGGTTATGACTTCATAGAACACACGTATCAATGATAAAGTCTTAAGTGAGAAACTGAAATTTAAGAAGGAAAAAGTAACCAACCTTCTTGTTAGTATAGACTTAATTGGGCATCATTATTATAAAGTTACAACTTCACTAAATGACGTTTAAGAAAGAAAAAAATAAAAACTCATCCCGTCATTAGTGCTTTACTTTAATTTTGGTGTTATGAAATTGCTAAATTTAGGTCACCTCTAAAAAATTAGTAATAGCTCTTGCGAGCGAAGAAAAAGGACATTATACTATTTGTCTAATTCAACCCTTTTCAAACATTTCTTCTCCCACAAGAAACAACAACCTAAGCCATATATTCTTTTTATGTTTTAGTTGCTACTCTCACATTACATTATCTGGGATCAAATATGGTTAGTTTCGTTTCTTCTTCTCTAACTTACAAAAATCTTTACATGTGATTTGACTTTTGTCATTTACAGGCTCATGTGGATGGGCAAGTTGGATATAGCGAGGTAAATTTCATTACTCTGATTTTTAAGATTCATTGTTTTTGTAATCTTTCAAATGAATAAGTCGATGATTATGAGCTTGATGATTTAGGAATTCATCGACAATTCGCGGGGAATGCAACTCTTAACATGCAAATGGTTTCCAGTCAATCAAGAACCAAGAGCTCTCATCTTCTTTTGCCATGGCTATGCAATTGATTGCAGCACCACCTTTAAAGGTATCTATTTTACATATACCTATATATGCATTCATTGAAGAAGAAAGAGGTGAATATTAATGTGAATTATTCTTACCTACAGATATAGCACCTAAGTTTGCAAAAGAAGGTTTTGCTGTGTATGGAATTGAATATGAAGGACATGGGAGATCAGGCGGTCTCTCTGTCTACATTGATAACTTCGATCTTCTCATCGATGATGTCTCTTCACATTTCACCAAAATATCTGGTCCATCTCTTCTTTGACCTCATTACACATTGACATTGCTGGCTTGTCATAACGTTAGATATAAGCCTACACTGTTTCAAAACCAATTTTCTGCGTTTACTACACGAGAAAAAAAAATATAACAAAATTATCAGTTTTTTTTTTTTTGCAAACAAAAAGGTTTTCTTAAAAAAGTTAAAATGTTTTTATTTTTAAAATATCCACTAGAAGTAAATATAAACTCAAATTATTTGGAGTTTCATTGCAAATCTATAGTAATATATTTACATGGTAAATAAATCTTAAGTAAAACTCGAGATCCTGATTTATACATATTCAAAAATAATTTGTTCTAAACCATTGTCCATTGTCTGGTGCAAATGCACTAGTTATCCGCGATACTAGCTAAACCGTGTGACTTGGATTTTGTTTGTTGTGCGAGGCAGAGATGGGAGATAACACAAAGAAGAAGAAGTTTTTGATGGGAGAGTCGATGGGAGGAGCCGTAGTTCTTCTCTTGCACCGCAAGAAACCAGAGTTTTGGGATGGAGGAATCCTTATTGCTCCCATGTGTAAGGTGAACATATTCACACATATATCATTTCATATAAGAATTATGTATAATTATTACTAATTTGATGAGAGTCAGATTGCTGAGGAGATGAAACCATCACGAATGGTTATATCTATGATAAATATGGTTACAAATCTGATTCCATCATGGAAATCGATAGTTCATGGACCCGATATCCTTAATAACGCGATTAAACTGCCTGAAAAGAGACAAGAGGTACTCTTACTCTCTTTTTCTCGATACATCGCCTATAAGATAAGATTTTGTTTTTGGTAACCAATAAATTCTGGACCTTCTCGGACCAGAGTCGATATCCACTGACCCTTTAAACACACAGATAAGAGCGAATCCAAATTGCTACAATGGGAGGCCTCGTATGAAGACAATGAGCGAGCTTTATAGAACCAGCCTCGATCTAGAGAACCGGTTGAACGAGGTAATACATATACACAATGAGGCAAAGTTCCATTGGCTTGTTCCAGTCACTAATTTTTTTATTTTTTTTTTGTGTGCCTTTTATAAGTGAAATAATTACACAAACATACACAATCCACATATCTCAATGTAAAATTAATGTTAATTTGGGGATATGTTTATGTGAGATATAGGTGACAATGCCATTCATAGTCTTGCATGGAGAAGATGATAAAGTGACTGATAAAGGAGGGAGCAAACTGCTTTATGAGGTGGCTTTGTCTAATGACAAGACTTTGAAGTTGTATCCAGAAATGTGGCATAGCCTTCTTTTTGGAGAGCCTCCGGAGAATTCAGAGATTGTGTTCAATGACATTGTCCAATGGATGCAGACAAGAATCACTACTCTTCAAGTGAAGGCTAAAAATCATGAAGCAAAACCTCAAATCTGATTTGCTCAGATTCGGTTTAGACTATAATTAACTACGTCTTGTTCTTTGCACCAAGTGCAACCACATTTTCTTTTTAAGGTTTGAATAAAAAAAAAAATTGGATGATAGCTTAAGAGATTATAGATGGTTTTCAAAAACCATTTTTTTTTCTGTAAACAACATTTGTATTTCTAATCTTTTGGGTTGTTCTTGTGATTATAATACTGATTTAACGAAACACAAGAATCCAAAGTACTTATATCAAATTCTTGATCGTATAACCCTTGATTTTGAATTATTTTAGTAAATACTATATCCAACAATCATCAACTAAATAAAAAAATGGAAGCTGTTTTTTAACAACTTGATCTGATTAGACCATGTTTATCGGACCAACTAATGGTCTGATCTTATGTTAAAAAAATAATAAAATGTTGGATTAGTGGATTAAGAACATGAGAAGTGGTCTTGGACTAGAACTGATCTAAGCCCGTTCTTGTGGCCATGTGGCATCCGCGGATTGGTTCGAATTTTGTTAACGGAAATTGTTTTTCATTTGGGCAAAAATCGTGTTGCATCTAATTTTCTCGCCTTCGTTGCTTCGCCGATTTCGCTCAGATTTCCGGCCAAATCGGAGCCAAATCGATCTCTGCTTCACCTAGGTACGTGTTCTCGCCTTCGTTGCTTCACCAAATCGCTCGGATTAGTTTGTTATGTTAGAAGAAAATTAGGTTTACATAGATGATAGATTTTGAAATTTACAGAGATGATAGATTTGTGTTTGATCGTCTGTTAGCTGTTGTTGGGATTCAGATTTTCTTCTTTTCACATAGTAGAATTTATTGCTTCGGAGGTTATGATTTGAGTATATGGTTGTCTTTAGAACCTGTGATTATATACTCGGTTCTGTGTTGGATCGAATGGTGTTTTAGTTCATGCATTTCATTCTAGTGTAGATTAAAGTTACTTCAGTCGAATGAGTAAGCTGGAAACTGATTTGAAACACCTGATTTGAGTGGTGTTGTGGTTTGTATAGTAGTGTTTTATTGGTTAGTCAAAGATTTGATGTCATTGTAGTGTTGCTGTTATTGGTTTTAGTGATTAAGGACACTGTAGTTTTGCTATTTATATCTCAGATTTGAGTAATTGTTGCTTGTATAATGAGTTTCTCAGATTTGTGTTGTTTGAGTTGTGATTGTCTCGGAGGTTTGATCTTGCAAGTTATCATCGTCCTCAATTGGCATCTGAGTGAGAAGAAGAAGAAAGGAGCTATGACAA